TCCTGTGAAGGGTAGCAAGAGCAATGGTAACTTGTATTCATATTCAACAAGGGAAAATATTAAAGAAAGGTAATGCTCAATTTTAATMTCTGTGAAGTCCATTAAAAAGAAAYKGTGAGATAAAAACTRTGYATATATTTTCTTTCTAGATGGAATATAAAGGAACTTGAATTAGAAGTCACTTCAAACAAACAAAGAATCCCTATAATTGAAAATAACGATGAAGGCCCAGAAGACACATGTCAGATATAACTCAACAAGAAAATGTTATCATTTTATTATGGTGAATATATTTTATACATTCAAGCCCAAACACTAGACATAATTTATACAATTGTACATTCTAGAGTAAAGTTTACATCATAGGCATTAATTTAGTTTTAAAATTTTCTTTATATTCAATAGGCCTTTTCTGAGATAGCAGTTTGCATTGCATTGTGGTCTAGATTTGGTACAAACATCTTTTGTTTGCCAAATATGGCATCCTTTGTACTGAAGCTAGGCCACAATGTACTACGATTTTGTATTTCAGAAAAGGTCTATAGATCATTACTTGTCTTGTTGTATATATCAGTGACTAGACCTTCTCTGGAAATATTCTCAGTATTATTATCCACAAACACAAATGTATATATCAAGTCTAGAATAATTATTCCTAAGTCAGGGGCTTACATTGTAAAAAAAAACCTTGAGCCTGATTTTAAGAATGGCCTGGGCCAGGAAACCATGTAGGATAAGACCCAGACTAGTCTCCTTCACAACCTCCCCTTTTGTCGGGCTTCCTGTCCCTCCTGACATGACAAAAGGGGAGGCTGTGAAGGAGACTTGACCCAGACTGTCTAAATTTAGGTTTATTTTCAGAAATGAATTAGATTCCTTTCATTGATCCCCTTTACATGTTTTTATATTGTTATTACATGATGTTTTTATTGTATTAAAACGTTCTAAATAGAGTACAAACACTAAAACTGTGCAACATAAATACCACTAAATACTGCTAAATTATGCTAATTCTATTGTTTTCTATTGTTTAATTTACACTATTTTGTAGTAAATAGTGGAAAGTGTTGCACACATTTAATGTTTGTACTCTAATAAAGTCCTATTTAAGCAAAAACTAAAAAATAATATTATGTCAATGAGTGATCAATCCAGTATGTTTGGCCATCATTTCATATGGAAAAGCTGCATGAGTACTACATCAACAGCTTGAATRCTGTGATCATCCACAATGACAACATCAAATGCAGCAGTGTAACTGTCAAGTCTTTCATCAACCTGAAACCAAATTTCCAACATTTGATACTGTTTAATACTATGCAATAATGAAAAACCAACCCAGTAGGGGTAGGGAGGGRATGGTACTCTAGCTGTACAAACCCTAATGAAAAGCTTAATTAAATTATTAATACACAATAAAAAGAGAGAGGAAAAGGATTGATGATTAAGACATTGGTTCTTCATCTTTCTATGAACTGTTTCATTGGAAATTTCTTACAATAATCAATACTACTGTATACAGTGACCACAGAGCGGTTAAATATGTGGGGAGGCCGGTGGGCGCCAAAGGCGCGAATTTTATAGCCTGGGGGTCCGGAGGCATGAGTTTCTATGTTGATGCCCTCACAGTATAGTCGAGCTCTGATCATCAATTTTTGGTATTCATTTATTATTAATAAATTAATAATTTTTTGGAAGCAAAAAGTGGGGGGCCGTGCCCCCCCCCCCAGCCCCCCCTGTCTCCACGGCCTTTGGTACACACTTGTTATCTCTTGTTTATCTTCACGATTGACATTGTTTCTAAAAGGAGCCTATCRTACAAAATTGTAGCACAATATATGTATTAAATGATGATACATTAATTGAGCCATAAAACCACGGTGACAGGGTATACTAACCTTTTCATTAAGAAACCCTATAGTTAACACATCTCCAGGGTTGGGGATGCTGCTGACAACATCTGTGTCCTGAATAAGGTCACCCATCACAATGGCGTTGGGGCGATTCTGCAATTTAAAGGCAACATTTGTAACTGTTTCAACATAAGCATCAAACCTCTTTAAAACATTGTCAAACATGAGCTTGCATTAAAAAAAACACCATGACTAGAATTCATTGCCATTTCACATTAGGCGTTTAACTTTCTTTTTTTTTGACAGTTTTTTTATGTGATTCTGGGCAATGGAGGATTCTTATAAAAAAGCTGCAAGAGACCTCATCATTGATCAGTTCTTTTGATCCCACTAAGATTGATAATGATGAGAATTTCCCTCAAGCGGGGATCTAAGATCATCATTAAGTACAAAATGAAATTGAGACCAAACCAAAATGACCATTAAGTAATTCATCCCTCTTAGGGTTAACATCTTTATCACCGCCACACTCATTATCTTATAAAAAGTTCCCATTTAGATGTCATTTTCATAATCATTTGTGCGAAGTGTCCCTTCCAGCATATTCGATCTGTTAGATCACCAAAAGTTGATTGCAATGGTTCTAACTGTTTTATATACAATTATTGATATATTTAGATATAGTAACCTTTGTTTTCTGGAAGTAGGGCAAATTCTTTGTCATTTCGTGTTTGTTGTTACTGGAAATAAGTCCACCCTGAAAGCCGTCCATAACACCCTGAAAACAATACAGAAGGTACAGTAAAAGGTATACAGAATTATAGGTTTCTTGTCTTAAAACACAAGTACCTGAGAATTATATTTCATGTAATTTCCAACAATTTCTACATTGTCATACAGTTCACTCTGTTGGTCGATGACAACTTTGATAATGTCTGAAAAGATCACATAAAAACATGATAAGAGGTCAACGTGGTGTTGACGGTTGAAGGTTTGTGGCGTTTTCAATGATTTCATATTAAAAAGTTTTATCTAAGTAAGTCGATCAAGTTAAGTAATATGTGATTTTTGGTTTCCAAACATTGTCTTSTAGAGGGTACCATTGTGGGACATTTTGACTGGTTTTTGCATGCTAACCAAAGCACTGTTAATAGTTGATATAATAGACGTGTCCTTCACGGTTCCCTGCGCCATCTTGAAAGGTGGCTGTGCATGCCTTTGCATCAAAGCGAGATGACTGTTGAGCATGCAATGATAGAAACCATCTTTCACACCTACGGACAATTATTCACTGGTATCTATCATTGCACGCTCAACAGTTGTCTCGCTTCGATATAAAGGTACGGCTACCTTTCAAGATGGCACACCTAACCGTGAAGGAGACTATCATTGGTACAAATTCAAGAGCARTTTCYTAAACTTGTGTCTATGTCCCCGCAMAGTCTGTAACAGTGCATAGGTGTAGGTAGCTGGGTTTGTTAGGGTGGTATTAACCTCTCCCTTCTTCATTTTCTTTCACTAYGATCAACTGTACCTGCAAGACCACCTGACAAGATAAGAATGGGGACTTTGTTCTCATGAGACTTAACAAACAACCATTCAACTCCATCTCTGAAAACAATAGAGATGTGTTAATATACAACTAGTTTATCATTATACTATTAATTATTTTTATCTAATATCAGACAACAGTGCATGACTAAAACTGTTGATTTTGAGGGTGTGATTTTTGGGAGATGAAACAAAGAAGAAATATGAACAGTTGTACTAATTATAACTGAAGAATCTAAATTGAAGTTTTCCAATAAGTCGAATTTATCACACCAAATGATTTTTACTATTTATACCTCAATGCAATATCGGCATCCCTGACAATAACTTCAAGGTTTTCTTTGCGAAGATTTAAATCCAAGATTAGTTCATGTGCTTTAGTCCACCTAGAGAAGAAGTTACACTCTGTCAATACCCATGCTATTTCAGGTACTTATAAAAAGTATGTATTATATGCAAATTTACTGATTTTGGCTCATTAGACATACATTTTTTTTTTTACTTTTAAGCGAAATCACCACTGAATATTAAATTAGACCATGGTATAGCAAACTCTCCATGATGGCATTATACAAAATAAATTTTTGTGCCATACATTTTCAAAAACTCTAATTTTTACAGAGAATGTATTGATCTACCCATTTGCCTCACAACATCTTTAATATGAACAAATTTTATAAACAAAGGATCCATCTATAGATGAATAATTTTGAGATACCATTCTTCCATAAGAGGACCTTTTTCTTCAGCACTCATAGAGCTGTAAATAAAACAAACAATAACAGTACTTCTAATTAATTTTGCACATTTCCTTGGAGAGTTATGTATATTATAAAGTAGAAATTATTGATCAGGCAAACGTACCACATTTACATTTACATTTACATGTACATTTAATTAAAATGCCTACCTTAGTTCAATAGGGTGATATTTATTCTTCAGAGCCAATGCCTTTAAAAAGGAAGTAAACATTAGCTTGAAGGTATAATCTAAATTTGAATGAGTTAGAATGTAGCAGCAAGCACAAATTCATGGTGTATTCGAGCCTCCATCAAATAATTAGCATGTCTAAAATCCTGCCAATTAATTATGTACACTTTGTAGAACATATGTCAATATTATAACCATGTTCAGTGAAGTAATATAAATTTTAAGTTAAGGTAAGAAGCTATATAGTGGAGTTAACATAGTTTTAGAAAAAATATGTTGCAAAATGCAATAAACTGAGAGTTGTTAACTTACCTTTTCCCTATAGGATTCAGGAAAGTGCTTGGATGTTTCAATGACTCCTGTTGTTAACAAATATATTTTCTTAACTWGACTAGCTCTTTAAGTACATATTTTTTGCAATCTTTAATTTCGTGTTACAGCGGAAATCGTTGCATCGCGACCTCTTTGTTTTGAAGTTTGTCTGGATTTTGTTACTTTCTTTCAATCTGAGGGCCGGAGCTTTTCGAAAACTCGTTCAATCATTGGCCAATTAGTATCAAGCTCTGCCCCCAAGTCACAGAAAAACCTAAATCCCAACTATTTTCGTTGAACATTGAAGTAGCGATGCAACGGTTTCTGCTGTAAAAATCAATGCGAATATCCTGTACAATGATCAGTTACTATATAAGTTTGTTACAATTAACTAATMATTTGATGTTACTGACATACCATGAACTGAACATCCTTTCAAGCCATTCACTAATGTATACTTTGTAAGGGTTTTATCAAAATCTGAAATTATCTAAAAATGAAATTATAAATAATTAACACATCATAATCATCTGCATGTCTTAGCCTGTATGCAGACAAAGTGTTAACAATTACATACAAGTTGGTTGGCGGCACACAAAAACTATGTGTGTCGATAGCCTCCAAAATTAAGCAATATCAAGGTATATTCATCTCCTTCAGGCACAAAACTAACACAATTGAAAGTAGAAATGACATGATAAAGGTTCATGCATTGCTTCACTTTCTTTATTTCTTCAGGGGGGGACTTCCCAATAAAACATGGTAGGTATGCTCGACGGACCGAAAATAAGGGTTGAAAATAGGGTCGAAAATAAAACCCTTACGTACCTTTTAGGTTCCTAAGCTGACTCCGTACCTTAMTTTTAGGGTCAATTTTCAAAGAAAAGAAAAAAAAATTGAAAAGGTGTTAATAAAGAAATAAATTTAATTAACCTCAACAATCTATTGACATTGATTTTCTACTGTTTGTTAAACTTGAGCTTCTCTCTAGTTAAAGACGTCAAAAATGGTTGTACCTTTTAGGGTCTGGAATCGATGCCTGAACTAGCGTACCTTTTAGGGTCATTTTTCAATCTGTCCATCGAGCATACCTACCATGTTTTATAGGGAAGTCCTCCCCTCCCCCCAGATTTCTTTCTTTCCCAACAACACCAGTCTCTGATTATGGTCAGTTCTAGTTAACTTTGACCACAAAGGTTTTTATCTAAATTTACCTGTAATTTTTCTGTTCCTGCTTCATACATTCTTTGAAGCTTTTCCCTCACTCCAACAGGGTCTTTCAAATAAATGTTTGTTTTATCAAGACCAGCAATCTATCAGATAAACAATAATATTATATATTTATCGTAGYATCAATTGATGCTACATGATATTTAAATTATAACGCCATACATTAATTATGCAGTTTAATTAGCAAATAGAGACAATCGTGGTTATTTTTTTTTCTATTAAAAGAACAATTCAAACCAGTTAAAATGTCCAAAARGTGCAATCGTGCAATATCCTAAACTATATTTAGTACATTRCTTGTACGCAGTTGTGAACCAAATCAAARCCTCTAAAATGAACATCGTATGCAATGTTTTCGTTTAAMAATCCTTGGTTTTCTGGAGGTATGAAATTAGWCGCACGATCAATAAACAGATCATGACATTTAACTTTACATAGGGTTTWGATTTGGTCCGATCACACGTGCATGTGGCCCTACCATTGCATCGACTGCTTCTCTGATTTTTCTACGCTGATTCCTTCCAGATATAACTTTGTAGATTCCATATCCTGCTATAGCAGAAACTCCAACAGCCGCCACAGCAAACATGGCTAACCCTGGCTTCGACAGTAATGTCATTCCTACGAGATCGYTCYGAATCCTAGCCAACMGATATGCTAATTTACAACAGGCGTTGCTTCCTGAACCGAAGAGAGCCTAGACACTAGTATGGTTTTGTATGGTTGGGAGAAAACCAAAGTTGCGAATTCCCCTTGCATTTTACACTTCCCTCTCTTTCATTCTTAAAAAATGAATAAAAATGCTAGGAAAAATGACAAGTTTGATTCCATACCCCCCACCCCACTGCAAAGCCAACACTGATGACACTCTTCATCAAAGTTTGCAAGGGTGACCTAGTATTTTGCTCCTATATTTCTAAAACATTAATTTTTATCAAATGTACGTTTACATAATAATGTTATAAAAATTCGTGAAAAGACATTTCAAAGATAGTAGCAAACATATGAATGGTGTAGCCTCCTTTGCAGGCGTTGTAAGTATCGGTCATACGATACATACGTATGACCGATGCGATACTAATAACGTCTGCAAAGGAGGCTATGAATGCGTTGACACTGATCAAAATAACAACATTTCAACAAAATGTTTCACGAGCGAAATTTCGTGAAATTGAGGAGCCTTATCCTGTCATTTTTTTCTTCTGCAGTGTATTGTCTTTATGATGGTTGATTGATATTGACTACTAGTTACTACAACAACTAGTAGATAACAAACAACTTTGGTGAAGCACTCTTTGGTGATCTTTTCCGGGCATAGTGTGTTAGCCTTTATGGGCTTTGTTAGCCCTTATAAACTCTTTTATTTTGAGAGGGTAGCACGTAATAGTCTCTAGACTAGTAAACTTGTGGCCCTCTATGTATTCACTCACACTCACTACCTCAACATTCATTATTTTACTACACGACACTCGTCACAGGCTTTGTTAGCCCTTTGTTAGCCAATCGGAGAATGGCTAGCACTACGCGAAAAAACACTTTGTCTACGATGACAACGCTCTATGGATTTCATGGGTAGGACTCCTACGACATTTCGTTAAGACATACGCATGCGCAATGCGTAGTAATAAGGGTGCTTTCCATTTAGGCAGAACTGGCCGGCCAGTCCACTCTATTTAGAGGTATATAATGCTTTTTGTCAACATTTTTCAGGACCATTTCGAGGTTTTCTGTAGAATAATGGCCGATAGAATTTGAAAATTTGAATTTCCTAACTAAATAGGGATGATATATAATCAGCCAGTTCTGACAAATGGAAAGCGCACTAAGTTTCAATTCATATACCTACACGTGGTTATGCTCTCATTGCCGGTTGGCAACTTAGAAAGTAAAAGGGCAGCTGGATAGAGTGCAGAATAAAGYGATGATATTGGTATTACTATTTTTATTGTCTGAATCCATGGGCAATAAAAGRTTCTTGCAAATGTCAGACGCACATATAATAAAACTGATTACATGTAAAAACTGTGGTAACTAAGAAAACGAACTTGTTTCCATATTCATTTCCACTATTAATCATAGCGACCTTTATAGTACAATCTAATTTGGGACTTGTTTTGTTGGSACGTGTCATTCCCTGMCCTTTCATTTCCGTTATCATTCTATCGGTAAGAAGTGCGTTTCTCCCTGAATAAAAATAGATTAGTTGGAACACATTAGGAATAATACAARAAGATTTAACAAAGCAAAATTTGTCAGTTTAATGTGGAGGTTTTTTCGTTATGTTGGACAGATGTCCCTCGTCTGCCACCGGTTGTCCTTTTGGYYAAGAATCACTACTCACTACTGTTCTATCAAACAGGTGTTTCTTGTTTGCTGTGTTAGTATTAGTATTAAGAACYTAGCTTTTTGTGCTTGTTTGCTTGTGTCTTTAATCTAAAAGCCGCCCGCARAGTGAATGGCTGTCATTACGGACCGRACCTTTAGCAACCGCGACAACTAACGAGGTCAAGAGAACAAAACAAGTTTATTACAAAATACGAGAAGTATACTGGTAAACAAGCCGAATTTTACTGCAACGAAAGGTATGATACAAAGGGAAACTCTATGTTTCAATACTAGATTAGCAGAAGTATTATCTTCAAGTTGTAAGGCTTACCATCTCATTCATAATCCACCACGGTCTATCTTAGTTTCCGTGATGCCGYAATTTTAATCTATTTTTTGAACTTTTCATCATTCTGRTGGCAAATTCGTTATATTTGTACTACCAGCTGTTTTACGAGMGAGTTATTGCCCTTTTCTTTGTTTTAAAACTGTAATTTAGGATACTTCCATGCAGCTGTCATAGTTTCGGAACTGAATMGCTGATATCTTGTATCTTAGAGATTATAAGGTAACTATGAATCAAAAATAAAATAATCACCAAGAGTATCTTCGACCACCTTAGCGTCATTCGCAGTTTAAAAAAGCACGGATTGTATCACTACAACGGCACTACTACAGCTAATACTGACGATTACGACTCGATGATTGAGCGCTAATTAATATTTGCTTTTTGCAAATGTTCACAAAAATACACAAATGTCAAAAATCAATCTTGATTCAGACAATAAGCGTCTTTTGTCTCTGATTAAATTCATGGAACTTAAGAAATCAATTCTCTCGARTATCCGCTAATCTGGCTAAACAAACTATGAACGCACACCTTCTGGAGTCACCCCGCATTTAGCCTCTCGTCAGCATTAGAGCCTATACCTTGGCAAGGTACAGTACAGTCCTGCTAAACGAACAGCAWAGAGTATAGACAAATTAAGGACAATATATAACTTTCGACAACAAACATTTTAAGGTAAGCGGTAACGTGCTATTAAGRGTCTTTTTAAGAGTTTTTTACTTTATCAATGTGGGGATTTGCTGCACTATATATGTACGTCTGTCTGAAATACACTGGGCTTTTCTTTCTTGAATTCTCCTCGAACATTTGCAAACATTATATSATCAAAGACGTCGTTCAAAACGTTTGTTTAAGTACACCATCTCAGTACTGCAAGTAGGAATACTAACTATAAGTTAAGGCTAAGTTAATTGAAAAAGAGAAATGTGACCAATAAATTGCGACAAAGTCATGAGAGTCGTCTTTATTTGACCGTGCAATGGCCGAAATGCTGGACTTTTTAGCTGTTGTTAAACAGAAGCAAAAACAAAACAACAAAGCAATAGACTACTAACTATATTAAGTTTTACTAATCCCTCATGGTTAATAAATCTTCAAGAGCGAGATTATATTTTCATGACAATACTGGTTCCTTTTATCAAAAAATACTCATTTTTTACAGCCAAATGTTATGCTAATCTTATATCTAAATTTTAATATAGAAAAGACGAGTTACCGAGCGCTGACCCACTGTGAACCGCGTCATTATTTCTGGATGAAACAGTTTCAGTTGTCAGATAAAAAAGATACATTTTCATCGTAAAAACGGATAGAAAACTGACGCAGTTTCCGATGACTCCRGCCCTTCATTGCAGATTATTAATGTTCGATGCGTACAATCGCAGACTAACATGAAAATCCTTGTATTTCTTAAAAACAGATGAAGCGGCTTTTCTCGTGTTTGGTCTTGGCTACTGTTTTTATCGCTTGGTCCCTAGCCACTGAAGAAGTGTCAGGAAAATCCGCTGTATTTAGAAGATCAACTGATCAATGTTACTGGCAATGTCGCATTCTAAAGACCAAGTGTTTGGACGATTGCGACCCAGGCGATCATGAATGTCGTTCAGTGTGCAAAGCTAAATATGGTTTTAACTTTTGTCAAAAACCCTGTAAGCAGAACGGTGGTAAAGTTCCTAATTTTGAAGAAGAAGAAGATTAAAATGAACCTATTATAGCTCTGTGGTCTGTGTTTTTAATTATAGAATACCTATATCTCGTAATTTCAAAAATTGCTTTTCGCGTCCCTGAAATCAATTTTGCCTGTTAACGCTTGACTGGAGGTTGCATGGAGTTTCCTAACTAAATTAGAATTTTGTAAAAAAAAAAGCCTTTGTCTATTTATCGTTTTAAAAACTCATAGTAATGAATGGAGTTAATTTTTATCAAAAATGATAGAGGTTAAATCTCACTTGTTCACTGTAGTCGGGACCGTTTTCCCGCGCATKTATACATGTACCATATCAACACAGAAGTAAAGAGAGCCAAACAACCTCAAGCCACATACGGCCCTGTCAGTCTATTCATAGTTAATACTAACTATGATCTATTGAACTGAGAAAGAAGTAGCTTGCATATATCTCTCTCCGACTCGCTCCTCATTGCCTCACTCAGTACAGAATACACACAAATCTCTGATTTTTTTCATAATTAACTTCAGATAACATATCATAAGATTTTATACAACTTTTCAGTAAAATCAGACGTTTTGATTGGTTGGCTTTCGTGTGTTATCAAAGTATAGATACACGGATTACGTCAAAACTAATTGTTTGTTGTATAAAACAGATAGATCTCATTTTTCCGTGCGTGTGTACTCTAATAGATACACAGATGACGTCAAAATGTAGTGAGAACAACAGTCACGCACTCGACTGCGTCTCGTGCGTACTTTTTTGTTCTCACTACATTTTGACGTCATCTGTGTATCTATTAGAGTACACASGCACGGAAAAATGAGATCTATTTGTTAAATAGTTGTGGTAAGATTACAGCTCTGTATTAGTAGCTTTACTGGGTTCATGAGATGTTTTAACGTCCGGGTCACGAAGATCCACTTGAACAAAATCTGCCATTTGTTTGTCAAGAGTTTCTGGGAGTGCAAAGAACAAGATACCGCTGACCAAAGAGAATATCGCCATAATGCCAAACGTCATTAATGGATGAATTCTTTGCTGTTGAAAAATGACATACAAAGGATCTTCATCAAAATATACTGGTAAAAATTAAAGCAACCAAGAAAACAAGATGTAGAAACTGCATTTTTTGTTTGTATAATATCTCCTTATCTCAGATAAACTGTGTCAAGTTCAACCTCGTTCCCAGGCCCTTTCCCTTCATTTGGGGAAGCAAAGAGTTAAAGAGCCTGGGAAAGAGGTTGAGRGTCAGGTTATAAACGGTGCATACCGTGTAGAGAAGGAATGGGGAGAGACCTGATCCAACACGAGCCATAGAACTGCTAGAACCAATGGCTGTATTTCTGTTAAACAAAGTTATCAATGRTATTAACTCATTGTGCAAGGGAAGGAATTTTAATTCCTTTAATTAWAATTATCACACTCAGTCAAAAGTGAATGAGACTCGGGTGGACTCGGGTGTGTTTCACGAACCAAGGAGAAAATAAAAACCCAAGGGGGGAGGGGGGACTTACCTGATTACAGTGGGGAAGAGTTCGGACGTGTAAACAAAAACACCATCGAACGCGATGATGATGAAGAATCTTCCAATACCCATTGCCATCAGCACTTTACCAGCAAGATATCCTAAAAAGAAAACAAACATCCCAAAAGAATGATCCATACTACCGGAATGTTTGAGCATTCAAACCACTCGCTTCTTGGGGAAATGTTCGTGCTTTCAGTGATTCAGTTGGAGTAGCAGACCCTTTAAGTAATTAGAGCATCGTGTCATATGGTCATTTATAAAAAAAATTCAATAGAGCACCACTATCTCTCACCTCCTCCTCCCCCAAGGGTATACTCACCAACGCCCCCTCCCCCCAAGGGTATACTCACCAGCTCTCCCTCCCCCCAAGGGTATACTTACCAGTGCTACCATCGTCGTAGAAGGCCAGTATTGCAGAAGTAAGTAAAGCAATACCAGATATCCACAGACTAACAGCAATAGTCTTCTTACGTCCAAATCTATTTTAAAATAAAAGACTTATTTACTAAAGAGATATTTATCACATCCTTTATGCATACTATTTATTTGTTTCCAGATAAGAATATCATTATTCATTTATTATCTATTTGCAGTATTTCCCGAACACAAGAGCACTAAAAATGTATGCGCGCACGTTTGTTGTTTTCTAATGAGGATTGTTGTTGATCACCGAGGCTGAAACTTGCTCTCTCWCACACACTTCTCCCCATACCATACAGACGCAAGAGAGAAAGCGTTGAATCATTGAAACTGAACTCGGATAAGCTGAAAATACAGTCATAATGAGTTTTGTGTTAAGAGTTTTGTACTGATTAAGTCTAACTCACCTGTCCAGACCAAATATCCCTAACACCATAGCAACCGCTTCACATACAGCAGAGATAAAGAAGTTAAAATACATGTTGCCACCGATGGCTGGGGAACCAAGAATAATTCCATAGTACACCATACCACAGGTGACCCTAACGACGGAGAAACTGGACTTTAAACAAGTACTACGGAGCAACGGCTGAATCAATCAATCAATCAATCAATCAATCAATCAATCAATCAATCAATCAATCAAATAGCTTTCTATAAAGAACTCACCAACTAAACCAACAAATCAAAGTTCTAACCCGCATCGAACGTGAAACAAACAGATCCCTGATATCTCCTTTCCCTTTTCTCTTTACATCTTCGTTTTCTTCGTTTTCTTCAATCTTTTTTAGAAGTAGATTGTCATCACTTAGATTTTTTCCATTCACTTGAACAGCTTTTCTCAAGGTCTTTTGTGCTTCGTCTATTCTTCCTTTCAATAAAAGCCATCGAAGTGACTCTGGCATGCACCTTATAAACGAACGATTGATATAAATACTTTATCATTTGTACAGTATATACATGTATATAGAATAATAATAAATATAATAATTGAAGAGAGAGCCACACTGAACTTGGAACTTGGTTTTCTACTCTTTAAATGCATATACTATATGAACAGCAATGGAAAATATGTATTAACATATTATGCAAATAAAARTTTCTACATAACGGATAATTTTATGCAWTTTATTCATTATGTATTTYTATTTATTCGATATTTATTYGTTTTTTATTCATGCAGAAATTATGAATATATCAGAAATTATGCGTATATTTTATCACAGATATTTTTTTCAGATAGTACTATTGTAATGATAGCTTATGTAACCCAGAGTTTGGCCATTTTGTTTTGGGATTATCATGTCAACTTGATCMGTTTACTCATGATGACCGTGAACCTACATAAGCTGAAGACTTAGCTAAATCTCAGGTCGCAGCCCCAAGGAACATTGCTTGTAATTGGTTGGCTCAACACAGAGTGACCCTAAAGAACGAGGCATAAACAATACAGCTATTGTTCTAGCCAGCCAATCACAATGAATTTTATTTAGAGCTGCGAGACCTCTGCTGAATCTAAGCTATACTAACCACCAGAAAAGGAAGAAAATCAATCCAGGGGCACTGGTGACGAGACTCAGTGTACGCCAATCAGGAATTAGATATSCCAGCAACGCTAGCAACATGCACCCAAATACCCAAAAATAGAATATACCAATCCCCACAASACCTCGTCGACGAACTCCCACGTACTCCATTAATAATATATATCTGGTGACCGTAGAACCACCTACAGGTATCATAAAAGTTTGCGAATCAGTAGACGATTCACCTTTTGAAGAGGTTGAGTACTGAAAAAGCTGAGAATAAAAGGCATTTTTGTTTGATGAATTAGAAATCAGTTCGATACCATGGTAATAGAAAACCAGAAAACTGAACTCAATTTTTCTTCTTCGCAGCCTCCCCTTTTGTTGGGCTTCCTGTCCCTTCCTTCTTTTTGGGAGGGRCAGGAAGCCTGGCAAAAAGGGAGGCTGCGAGGGAGACTACACAACATTTTAATAAGGAATGAAAGGGTTTAATGAAGTTTGGAAATGTATGCATAAGTAAATAAACATCAAAACATTGTGTACTTGGTCAACAATTTAACAGTCGCCTTGGATTTTTGACWATTTGTTTTGTATCATTTATATTCAGTTTACCTATGCCAACTCCAATAAGACCTCTAAGGAGAGCAAAAACCCAATATTGCTTTGCGAAAGCAGATGCAAATCCACAAGAAAAGACCAGCATGCAAAAAGGGAAAGCAATTGTCTTTCTGCCGTATTTGTCGCTTAGTATACTTGCTAKCATGCTCCCAAAAATCCACAATATGAAGGTTAGAGAATTTACCAAGCTAACATATACAGCCATGTCACACACGAGGTTCCACTGGTGAAAACAGAATAATCAAGGTATCGGTTATAAGAAAATAATTGACAGGTTAGTTGAAATGTAAATAATAGATGAAAATAAACGATTGAATCAACCACATAATAATCGTCGTCGAAATCAAGTCAAACATTTTTGTTGGTCATTTGTTCTAATGATCCTTTCCACTGTAAATGACGTCATATTTATGTTGTCCAAGTGCATCATGGTATTGGTAAATGTATCGAAATATATATCTATAGGACGAAAATTGTTTACAACTTTCTTTACGAAATTATTAGTATCCATTGTCGAAAATACTTTAAAAAAACATTAAATAAGACTATGATGCCTTCATCCTGAGTATTTACTAAGACCTGCATGGGAAAATATAAATAATTCTTTTTGCAAAACTGCATGAAAGACAACTTAGCTTCATTTTGTACTTTTAAGTGCAACTCGCCTAACATTGCATGACGTCATAAGTGGAAATTCATCAGCATCACTATTATCATACATCATCATTGTTACGATCATCACTATAAATATACGTCATCATCATCAT